TAAAGCTATCCGTAAATACACTTAATTTAAAAAAGTATCTATTTTAAAAACAAAAATTTATAGTCGACTATCGAATACGTCGGTTAAACTGTATTTATTATTAAGGTGAAAACAGGTATTGCGAAAAATGCGCCGCAAATACAGTTTTATCTAGTCGTCAGAAAATTTTACCAATATATAAGTGTGAATTATATTTATATTATCACTTTGAATAAATAAAATCATGGTAAATAAATTAACAATATAATGTATAGAAAAAAAAAATTGTTTCAGAAAAATATAACCATTTTACGCCATATTTAATGTTGTTTCAGATATGACACAACTCGATGGCATAAATTTAACGTCGATTAGCAAAATATTATTTTGAAAGACTGTTTTCAAATATGCTCGCCCTGTAAAGCTTTTCTTAAAGCAATTATAGACTAAGTAAAGAGTAAGAAGTAGTGGTTTAAATTAGAAAAAATATATTCAAAAGGAGAAAACGGGGTTCTCTAATCAAAACATTTAGATTTAAATTTTAAAACTTACATTTGTTATAGTTATTCTATTTCACGATGAAGGTTTGACTTTGGTTGTGTTAGTCGTGCACATACACATTGTGTTAGTGTGCCTAGGCTTCAGGCACAGTGGTGACACTCACTGTACGTGAGAGTTCAAGCGCCGGTGACATTGAGCCAGAGCGTGGCTAGCTAGCTAGGGTTGATACCGAACCGAAATGGAATATTATTGACTTGTGCCAAAGTATAGTAGGTATATGTTATATAATGTAAACTTATTTATTTAGGTAGTGAAAGATACGATCAATTTTGAATCAACTTTTATTAAATATCTCTACAGATGGGGAATATTAAAATTTCCGACAAAACAAAATATGCACGATAGTTAATGGTAATCATAAATAATAATTAACTAATACTTAGTATTTAAGTACGCAATAATCAGTATTACCTACTACCCTTTAAAAACTACTTACTCTTATATATTTTTGGCTTTTTCGATGAAGTTAATAATTTTTATTATTATTTCTAACATTTGCAAAATTTGTAGGCGTATGTATAATTATTTTAGAAAATAAAACTTTATTGAACGCCAAAAAATAACATAAATATAAACAAAAAATGAGAAAAAGAAAAGTGGTACAATAGGCGGTCTTATCGCTAAGAGCGATCTTTTCCAGACAACCTTTGGATGGACAGGATTGCAAGAAACAATAAAAACGTGTGTGCTTTGGCGACAAAAATAATAATATTTTTATTAAAGCCATAAAATAGAAATATAGAAAAAATAAAATATAGAAAAGATAAATACATACATACATATACATATAAATATATATTTTTATAAATATAAAAGTACAAAAAGGCCGTGTAGTGGCGGTTAAGAATATCCACTACCCCATATCTCCCCGTGGGTGTGGTAAAAGGCGACAGAGGGAACCTGGGCAGCAGCATCTTTCTGATAACAGCAAAACAACAATAAAAAACTGCGGTTGTCAACCCGCTCGCCAAGCGTGGCAACTATGGCAAATACCCCCCTATGATGAGAGTAACAAAGAGACGGCCCCCAGTCCCCGGCGGCCCCACTATTCCTGGCTAAGGTGGCGATCATGGTAACGGCGCGGCAGGGGGTGCTAAGAATCTCCGGTGGAGGTTCAGTTGCCACCTAAGAAGACTCGACCTGGTAACATACAACGCTCACACCCTAAGGACCGACGAGAAGATCGTGGAGCTGGAAGAAGAGATAGACAAGTTACGCTGGAATATTATAGGATTATCCGAAGTTCGAAGAGAGGGGGAGGACACGGTAATCCTTGAATTCGGCAACTTGCTCTATCACCGGGAGGGTGACCATCTGTCCCAAGGAGGTGTCGGATTTATCGTCCACAAGTCTCTCGTTAACAACGTTGTAAAGATTGGGAGTGAGTCGACGAGGGTTGCGTACCTTATACTCAGAATCACCAAATGGTATTCGCTGAAGGTCATAAAGGTTTAGGCACCAACCTCGGCACACCCCGATGAGGAGGTGGAGGAAATGTATGAGGATATCTCTAGAGCCATTCCTCCAAAACTCACTATTCGGTGTTAATGGGAGACTTCAATGCAAAACTAGGCACAAGAGAGAACGGTGAGCTGAAAGATCAGCTCACCGTTATCTGTTCCATTTGGAATAGGGCAACGGAACCCAAGGGGCCTGCAGCTGGCCGAATTCATGGAGAAAGAGGGACTCTTTATGATGAACTCTTTCTTCCAGAAGCGGCCCCACAGGAAGTGGACCTGATCGAGCCCCGACGGTTCGACAAAAAATGAAATTGACTTCATTATGACGACCAGACGACAACTGTTCAGTGATGTCTCCGTGATCGCGAGGGTGAAAACTGGTAGTGATCACCGAATGGTTAGAGGTACAAACTGACACAAAACGTTAAGTTGGAGAGGTCTCATCTAATGAAGTCAACGTTCCGTCCCCCTCGTGCCCCTCTATTCCAAAGTCCCCAAACCTTTCAACTCGAGCTACAAAACCGTTTTCAGTGTCTAGAAGACTGTAATGAAGTGGACGATATGAATGACAAGCTCGTGGAAACTGTCCATGCGGTCGGAGCTAAGTTCTGCAAGACCCGTCGCAGAAGAACACAAACACTCTCCGATCACACTCCTAACCTCATGGCTGTTAGACGGGAGATGAAGCTACAATCTTCAATAGATTTGACATCATACAGGCAATTGTACAGACAGATCTCCAAATGCATGCGGCGGGAATTACGCAATATCAAAGCTTGTATTGAAGAAGCGATCGAGCGAAACCAAGGCTCCAAAATCTTTGCCAGAGATCTGTCTGCCAGAAGGAGCCAACTGTCGAAGCTGAAGACCGAGTGTGGCAGCATCGTTTCCGGGACACCTGAGATTTTGAGTGAGATTGAGAGGTTCTATGGGCAGCTGTACACGTCATCATTGGAGCCACACGCAAGTGTGAGTAACGATCCAAGAGCGAGTCTTATCCGACACTATTCCGAAGATATCCCGGACGTCAGTCTGAGTGAGATTAGAATGGCTCTCCAGCACCTTCAAAACGGAAAGTCCCCGGGCGAGGATAAAATCACAGCGGAGCTTTTAAAACGGGTGGAAAACCGGTACTTGAAGTCCTTCAGAAGCTCTTTATTTCCGTCCTGTGGCACTACTCTTGAGGCGTGAAGCAGAAGTGCGGTGGTCTTGTTCTTCAAGAAAGGCGACAATGCTCTCTTCAAGAACTATAGACCGATTTCCCTTCTGAGCCGCGTCTACGTGCTGTTTTTGAGAGTCATTAGGAATCGTCTCGCACGCAGACTTGACGACTTCCAGCCTCCCGAACATCTCAGTTTCCGAAAGGGGTTTAGCACCATAGACCACATACATACCCTTCGGCAAGTTGTACAGAAGTCCGAGGAGTACAATTTGCCACTATGCCTGGCGTATGTGGACTATGAGAAAGCCTTTGATTCCGTCGAAATTTGGGCGGTGCTGCAGTCCCTTCAGCGGTACCAAGTTGACTGTCGGTATATCGAAGTGCTGAAGTGCTTGTACAGTAGGGTTACTATAACTATCCGAGTACAGAACCAGAGTATGAAACCTATCCAATTGCAGAGAGGTGAAGACAGGGTGACGTCATATCCCCGAAACTCTTCACCGCTGCTTTGGAAGACGTTTTCAAGCTTCTGGACTGGAAAAGTTACGGTATTAACATCAATGGCGAGTACATCACTCACCTTCGATTTGCCGACGATATAGTCCTTATGGCAGAATCGCTGGAGGATCTAAGCACTATGCTCAATGACCTCAATAGTGTCTCCTAACGGATAGGTCTTAAGATGAACATGGACAAAACAAAGATCATGTTTAATGTCTATGATAAATAAATAGTGATAAACTTAGAAATGAGGATATCTGCAGTAAAACCAGAGTAACCGACATAGCCCAACGAATTAGTAAGCTGAAGTGGCAGTGGGCCGGCCATATAGCTCGAAGAACCGACAACCGATGGGGAAGAAAGATTCTCGAGTGGCAGCCTCGTACCGGTAGGCGAAGTGTAGGGCTAACCCCTACACGAAGTCGATGGATGCAGGTGGCTCAGGACCATGCTTTGTTGCATTCCTTGGGGGAGGGCTATGTTCAGCAGTGGACTTATGAAAGGCTGTAATGATGATGTAATGATGAAAAGTACAAATATATACTTTAAAACTATTAAATGTAATAAATGTGATATACATATAAACAAATATTGTAACTAAATAATGGTAGAATAATTATATACAAATGAATAGGCATTATTTATGTATAAAGCGCAGTCAGTCTGTGCTTTCGTGCGGTGCGTGAGATTAGAGAGACGAGAAGCGAACTACTACGTACTAGCCTTCAACCAGGGCAGTCGGCAACGGCCCGTTCCACGCCCCGTGCGCCTCTCAATGCCCCCGCACACATCCAGACATTTACACATAGCCGCAAGCGATTTTGCACACATGCTTAAGTGTCGTTTCTTTTCGCGTAGTGTATATTTTCTTTGCCTCGGGAGCGCTCAGTCACGATTGTGAGTCGAACGAATCGTAGTTACACACACAAACGCGCCTGTCGGTATACGTCACTACTACAATAAAGGCGAAACCTTCATCGTGAAATGGAATAACTATATCGTTTTCAAAAATCATGTTCACTGGTTGTTTGAAGTAAGGTAATATTTTAAGTAATAAATAATAATAATTTTAAAATTAATTTGAATAAAAGAGAAATGTTTCTTTTTTTTTTCAAATAAATTTTACTACTTTATATTTATTTCGCATAGCACGCAATGTCTGTTTTCACCTTAAAAATTCATCTTATTTCGTTGCGATGAAATATACTTAAAGTATATGAGTATTTTCACTTATACTACCAAATCAAAGAGAACCGTTTCTTTTTAGATACATTGTTGACCGTGATCTTTTTCAAATTCTTATCTTTCACGCCGTTTCGTGGTTTAAATAAGTTTACCTGGAGCCCAACTTTTATCTTCTTGGTCAAGGCTCCCTGTGGGAAGACTGCTTGGACTTGTGGCACTACGGAGCTAGAAACCATACCACCTGAAAAAAAATTAAAATAAGGGAGTAAAGTTACAACTTACTACGTCCCACTCCTGGGCACAGGCCTCCTTTCATTTCTGAGAAGGTTTCAGGGCTAGGGAAAGTCCGCTGCACTGCCCTAATGCGTGTTGGTAGACTTCACATGTCTTTCAAAATATATATTTCTTTAATTTCTAAGACATGTAGGTTCCGTCACGATGTTTTCCTGCACCGTAGAGCATGAACACCGCCGAGAGCGTGGTAAATCAAAATTCAAAATTGTAATTAACAATTTCATTGGTGCCAGCGGGGTTTGAATCCGGGTTGCTCACATACTGTGATATTTACAGCGAACTCTTTAAGCCTCTGAGCTACCACGGCTCTAAAATATGCGAGTGGTAGTTATTATCTAGATAATCTATCATCCTTTAACAATACTTGTATCTAAAAGCTCCACTCGAATAAATATCGGGAAATAATTTGGTTTATTTACTGTTAAAAAGTTGCTAAAAGTATTATACTTTAGACCACTGGACTGGACTTAGAACTAGTTGTAAGCAATTATTTCTAGTGAAATTTACAAAATTAAAGGAAGCGTTATATTATACTGTTACGGCCTACGGCTGCTCCCTTAAAGGGTCCAATCCTCTGGGGCCCATGAGCAGAAGACTTCCCGAGCAGACGTAGGTCGGGCCTCAATGTGGCCACGAGGAAATTCCTAATTACAATAAACCAGATGGGAGGACGCTAGAAAGACATAGTACTTACCATTGTCCGAAGCTAACTTCGCACCAAGGCTTGGGCAGGCCGTGAGTGTGTGTAATAGTGGATGGCGAGTAGTGTACAGTGAGGTGTGAATGTGTGGGGCCTTGTCAAGCATAGGCGACCAGCCGCGGCCGAGTTCCAAGCTGCTCCAAAATGCTGCACCGCTTCAGACTGCTTCGGCGCCGGACCACAGTCACTTTCCTCGTTCGTCACGATGACAGTCAATTAACTCTATCGTGCGATTAACTAACTTACAGAAGCCACTAACTATCTCGGGGTATAAGGTTACCGCACAAAACGCACACGGAGTTTCTGGATCAAAGGTAGCTACCGTTTCGCGTTGCAACAGTTAGTTCTAGAATATCAGAGGCCGCACTAGCTAATATTGTCGAATGCACTTATACAGATTCTGAGTCGGACCCAATAAGTCCCGGGAAGCTCTCCAGCAGGAATGCGCGTCACAAAATCCTAGACCGTATATTTACGGGCCGCACCTAATTATTCCGAGTTCCCTAACAAAATGACAGCGTGCCAATCGTTAGCACTGCCTAAAGACGACTGCCTGCCCTTGTGCATTTTTCGCACGACCGAAAGTCAAACCGGTATGAATGCACCGCGCCGAGCGCCCTCTCGCGTCAATCCTTGAAACTAGCGCTTGGCGCGAACATATACTAACATTTAAAATGTCAGATAAAATGTTACACTCTTGCTAGAAATACTCCTATCTAATCCTCTAACCCAAAATTATAGGTCATATGTATGTTATTAAAATACATTAATATCCACACATACATACATAAACAATTAAGTATATTCTAACACCATAAAATAATTATATTAATGCATAACTAAATATTAATTATTTTAAGCTGCTTTTAGCGTTTCCAAACTATTTTGTTAAGTCAACAAGTAAACCTAAAATGTTTTAAGGTAAATATAAAGCTCATACTTTTATTATTACGAGTATTAAACATCCCAACATTAATAAGAATAACAGCACTGTATAAAGTCGTATCTACATAATATGTTTTAACATCGATTACAGGCAAATGAGCGAGTGTTCATCCAATTAAGTTTATAGATCATTATCGTAAATGGCACTTCCGAATTCAGTTTGTAATAAAATTTACCTTCTGGTCCAATCGCATGTACTTCTTGGCGGATGCGTGATATAACTGCGAAATATTGCGGGAAGTCGTGCGTCAGAATTCGAGTTACTCGAGGTGCATCCCACCCTTTATCTTCTTCGTTTGTTTCTGTTAAAATAGCAAAATAATAATACCATGGGAAAGATATTGTAGAGTATTTTTTCCAGAGAAATGAATTAAATTGTGTTATAATTCAGTTAAATATATTTTGTTGTTCGTTTCAAGGTTCAATACGACTAAATATAAATAATCAATAATAAAATCATAAGTTACAAATTGCAGATTCAAATGTTTTACTTTTGAGTCCGTGTCATGTTGTACATGTCGTCCCGTGGGTGTCATAAGAGGCGACAGCGGAAATCGAAAACAGGTGGGCAGCAGTATCTTTTTTTTTAGGTTAGGGTGACAAACGAGTACACAGTCCACCTGATGGTAAGTGGTTGCAGTGGTCCATAGACATCTAAATTTATCCTCATTTGCGAATCAAAATGCAGATGCGTTATGACCCGTGAGGCCTAAGTAAAAAGTGTCTCCGGTTCTCTACACTCACTACACGAAACACAGCAGTGTTAAGCTGCTATTTTACGCTGGTATTCTGTGAAAGCGTGGTCCTTCCCCCGTCGAGCCGACCCATTCGTGCTACAACTATACTAATAATATAGCTACAGCATGGCTCTACCACGTACAAATTCGTACCACGTATGTATCTTCGTAATAACAACTGAAAGAATATAAAAACTGCGGTTGCCTAGCGATACAACTATGGAAAAATCCTCTCAGTGGAGGAGACCTATGTTCAGCAGTGGACTTTCGATAGGCTGTAATGAATTAATGATGAGTAAATAGAAATGAGGTATTATTTAAATTTTAATTAAACCATAACTAACATATATAATTGATCGAAAATATACCTTCGATCTCCAGCGTCTCATGCAGTATGTCCTGTACCACGTCCTCTGTTGCGTCAGCGTTGTGCTCGCGCCAGCTGGTACCATTATCTGAACGCAGGATCACTATCTCACGTTCCTTGCCGCGGAGTGAAGCGTAATGTGGTACTTCCAGTATCACTGGCCTATAACAATACCATTATTCATGAATTTTTTCTTTGTTAAAACTTACCCTCACTGTGGATTTTTGTCCTGTATTGTGAAGGTGATTTACATACATAAATTGCATATGGACAAACCCTCAAGTAATAGGCCATACAAACCCTTGCATCGTGCAGGATGCGACACCGCATTGTCGAAGATTGTTTACATGCAGTTGGACTGCTTCGTTGGTCTACTGGTCGTAAGTGCGACTGCTCATCATGTGGACTTGGAATGGGCCAAATCAGGTTTTTCTTAAAAAAATTAGTATCAGCCTCAAAACCAAAGCGTGCCTCGGAAAGCATTCAAAGCCGTTGGTCGTGCGCCTGATCTCTCTCCGATTGTGTCAGATTGACGACGCATCGGGCTATGAGAATGGGGGAATTTAGAGTGCACCCGTGATTGCGCACATACTCGCGCACTATAATCCATAGATGGAATTTACAACACAGAAAGCAACTCTCTTTAGTAAGCTTCCCGTTAGCTATTGTTTTCCTCCACTTAAAAAATGTATCTGCACAACTGCTAACAAAATTATAATTTCTGTCAGCTATAAGAAATTATTTGCTGCCCAATGCCAATATTTTCGAAATAGACGTACCCCAGGAACTTGGCAGCGACCGGACCCATCTCCAAAACTCTAGCTGCGAGCGCCTCCCCTTCCATCAACGGCGGCATGTGGTTGATACGAGATGGCTTAAGATATCTGCAATGAATGATGTTCATAATTAATTAGATTATTGATAAAAATTAACTAAAATTTATCCGAGACCTCAATACAAACATAATCTATTATTGGTAAGACTAAGGTAATGTTAGTTAAAAAAAAGTTTAAGTAACCTTGGAAATATTGTTCATTTATATGAAGCCAGAGTCGGTTATCAATCCTCAAACTGTTTCAAACCAGTTAAAATAAATACCAACATAATCAAAAATTCTACGCTCATATTCTTTTTCATTAAAGGAATTTATTTATATTATAGTCTACCAAGGCTGGCGGTTATAGCAAACCCTCCCGATAACAGAAGTATCTCACATCACCCCTGATAAAGAAGAAGTTTCGAGAGTATACCTGCATGTGATCCTTGTAGGTTGCTGCGCAGAGAGTGGTGGCACTATGACACGGACGCCTCCCCCGCGGCAGCCACGCATGGCTCCGCCCCGGGCGTCCACTAAGAACGACACCAGGAAACTGCAACATTGTAAACATCGTTCAGCCTAGGGTTGCCAACCTTTATATCAAAAATATAGTATTTTCGAGACCTGTAACATTTTTGTTCGTAAAATAAAAAGCATAATATGGTGTATTCCAAATAAATATTTTTGATGCTTTGAGCTTTTACTTTTATAATTGTTAAGCTTAAGATATTGTCATAAGTTTAATTCTGTTGATTTTTTAAATATTATATTTTTTTATTATATACTCGTAGTTCTCGAATGGCATCCTCGTTGCGATAAGTCAAGTGTAGGGTGGCGCCCTACTGGATGGAGTGACGAACTGGTAAGAGATGCAGTAAGTTGAGGGATTCAGGTGGCTTACGACCGTGCTTTATGGGTACCTTGGGAACCTAGGTTCAGTAGTAGGCTTGTTATTGTGACTTGGCTTTGATGATGATGATTCAAAATTATGCAAAAAAAAATTTATCAATCTAAGATTTCATTTATAATGTAAAAAAGTATCACAGACCTGTTTGTTCTATATTGGCAATAATTGATTATTTTACAAAAATAATCGTCGGCGCGACTGTTAGTGATCGTGTATATTCTGAACGACTTGATTGATTGAGGTTTTATTCACACATATGCTGGAATTCTACAGGTGGCGCTGTGGTTTAATTTTTTAACAGGAAAAAAAGAAAATATTTATTTCGCCTTAATAGAATAACGGTATATATATTTTTTTTATAAACGTTTCCCCCACACAAGGATTTTCTCTTGTGTCGTAGAGGAAGTTTGCAAACATAAATAGCACGAGGACAAACATCCAGACCCAGAACAATTATTTGTAGGCCATACAAATACTTGTTCCGTGCGGTATTCGCACCCGCGGCCCCAGCGCAACAACTCATTGCCAAGCCACTGCTCCACAAAGCCGTCACATTGTATTAAATATTTCTCTTAAACGTGTATCAAGTATTAATATACGTTGCCAAAAGAAAAGCTGTTCTTCAGTGTGGCCGGTTTCATCCCTTTCACGTAGTTCGAGCAATGGTCTATCTTAACAAATTTTAAATAGCAGTTAACAGAAAATGGAAAAATAATAAACTCGAGACTAAACTAGACTTTACATCTTATGTTCCTTCTGATTGTTAAGCTTTTTTATTTTTGGTCACTCAAAAGTACAGAAAATGCATCAAATAAGTAATAATATAAATTATCAAAACATTTAACGACTTACTTCTTCCACTGTAGCTTCTTTCTGTAGTTTCGAAATCCAGGTAGCGTGCGCATGAATCATTTTGATTACAATATTTAACAATTCTGAAATTATATTATGCCTATTACCACACTAAATTTAATTTGATTAAAGACCGATTTTTCAACACTCAGATACATTTTATTCATATGATAAAATAAACAAATTATAATACAGTTTCATTAATAAAAAAATTGTATTGTTTTACATTTATATTCCATCAGGTTATAATTGATCCGATGTGTAACTTAATTTTACGAAAATTTTCGACGTGTGGCGATGTAAATGAATCCATCAATGTTAAAGACATTAGCATTATTAAGTTAAATAAAGGAGAAAAAGCAAGAGTGAATACTCAAAATGAAAACCCAGCGATTTGCAACTTTCAGCTACTACATCCACCACTTCCCATCAGGTGAGTGGGTTTATTATGAGAGAGCCGTGGTGGCTCAGGGACAAATAATTTCCTACAACACTGAATCTGCTGAAAAGAAATAAAAAGTAAAAGGAAAATGAGAAGTAGCTTTAAGAAATAATACTCACTTGGGTTGTGTAGGATCTACGTTATAACAATAACCCTTTGGAGCTTGCGCGGTGCTGTACCGACTGATACTCTTCACCACCACTTCTTGTTGCGGCTGGTAGGGGATCCCGTTCACAGATCCTGCGATAATAATGTAATAGATAAAAGGTTAATGTGGTAGTGCCACGCTGCAGCTATATTATTGTTGTGAGCGAGTGAAACGGCTCTACCGGGAAAGTACAGCTTAATGTTATATATAACAGATTAATAACCGCTTAATGTTATACGAGTATATAGCAGCTTAATGGTATGCTTGTCTGGAAGAAATCGCTTTTAGCGATAAGACCGCCCATTGTGTCACTATTTTTTTTCGTTTATGTATTGATTTGGTGTACAATAAAGAATTATCTATCTATCTATCTATCTATGCTATAAGTGTGGTATGCTATAATGTATTTCGTATGGTGACTGACAAGAACCGCGACATTTTTATCTTAGTCCTTAGGGGTGACAACGCATCTATGATGTAGATTTCTATGGACCACAGCATCCACTTACCATCAGGTGAACTAGGTGCTCGTTAGTCACTTTTATTCTATATAAAAAATTTACTGTCATAAAAATAATAGTATATAAAGTTTACAGAAATAAATATCATGTAATTCTCGTACACTCGGCTGGGAATTTAAAAAAAAATGTAAGATAACCTTGTATAAGAACATCTGGAATTATTAATATAAAGTAAATCGAAACATTTAACAAAAAACCCTCTACAAACTTGAAAGATCTCTAAAATATTATAAAAATTAGAAGAATCTCCGATAGATGGCTTTATGCCATAGTAATCAATACCAAGTAAGTATATAAAAATACTTATAATATTTATCACAATAATAATAGCTAAAATAATTCTATTTCTCATCACCAGTCTGGGGCTTTTATTCTTTCAAAATTCGTATACAAATATGATGATAATTTGACTTAAAACTGTGGCATCATTTACACTATATTTTCAGCAAAAGTTAAAGATATGTTGATTGTAATAACTATTAAAAAGTGTTTTATTAACTACATTACTTACCATGAGACATCTCCATGATATTCTTGTGGCTCATGGCAGACTCGGTGCGTTCATCTTTCGTCACGTCGATCGGTAAGGAGTCGTCTCCTAGTGATTTCATGTCATCTGCAGTCAGGTAGCGGTATGGCTGGTCGTTGAGAATCGTGTCTTCACCTAATTTTTTTGAAATATTTTAATATAATATGTTAAAGTAGAAAGGTGAGATTACTTACTGATATAGTTTTATTAAGTGAATATTTATTGATAGCTTAGCACACGGAACAATATTACTCTCCTACCGGGAGAGAGATGGGCAACAGTATTTTCCTGATAACAACTTAAAATAATAAAAAACTGCAGTTGTCAACCCTCCTGCCTAGCATGTCAACTATGGCAAATATCCTCCCCTGTGAAGCAATATAATAAAGAGGTCTTTAATCAGCGGTGGATTTTGTTAATTTTCATTAGGCTATAATAATGATAACGCAAACGCCGTTTGAAAAAAATACGGTTGACCCTGGTTCTTCCCGCTAATTTCAAATGCAAAGCGTTACAAAGTCCACGTATTGTGACTAGCTCTTCGAGCTCAAAAAACGTGATTTATTACACCAAAAACAATCCGAGAAGAAATTTCAAAATTGTTTGAAAAAAAAATACTTTTATCGAACTTTTTCGTTAACGATTTCTCTTCAACGCATTAACCGATTTTGATGCATTTTGCAGCAATCGACGGTGTTTTTTTAGTTTAAGAGCTGATTAGATTTCTCAAAATCTACCGATCCGAATCGGTTCAAATGGTAAGGAAAATCTAAGTTCGGTGAAGCCCTTTCGAATGCCTCCAAGTTCGTTCAAATCGGCCAAGCCATTCAAAAGTTATGAGAGGGTTACATACAACCATACACACACACGCACACATACACACACATACACACACACACACACACGTTAAAAAATCAATATAGGTTTTATTCGATTTGTTTATAGTTTCGCTTTTTATCAACCGCGATTTTTGATGACATATGCGTGGGTTTGATTCATTCTTTGTAATAACGACCAAATGAAATTAATAATTATCATCATCATCATCATCATTACAGCCTTTCATAAGTCCACTGCTGAACATAGGCCTCCCCCAAGGAATGCCACAAAGCACGGTCCTGAGCCACCTGCATCCATCGACTTCCTGGATGTCTTACCAGGTCGTCACTCCATCTCGTGGGGGATCGCCCTACACTTCGCCTACCGGTACGAGGCTGCCACTCGAGAACCTTTCTTCCCCATCGGTTGTCGGTTCTTCGAGCTATATGACCGGCCCACTGCCACTTCAGCTTACTAATCCGTTGGGCAATGTCGGTTACTCTGGTTCTACTGCGGATATACTCATTTCTAAGTTTATCACGCAGAGAAACTCCGAGCATAGCCCTCTCCATAGCTCGCTGAGCGACCTTGAGCTTCCTCATATGGCCAGCAGTGAAGGACCACGTCTCAGTTCCGTAAGTCATCACTGACAACACGCACTGGTTGTACAATTTCGTTTTAAGGTTTTGAGGTATGTCTGACGAGAAGATGTGTCGTAGCTTCCCGAACGCTGCCCAGCCGAGTTGAATCCGTCGATTGACCTCTCGGTCGAAGTTGGACTTACCTAGTCGGACTATTTGTCCCAGGTAAACATACTCTTCAACAACTTCGAGCTTAGTGCTCCCAACAACTACCGGCATAGGTGTGACATGGACATTAAACATAATCGTTGTTTTGTCCATGTTCATCTTAAGACCTATCCGTTGGGAGACACTATTGAGGTCATTGAGCATAGTGCTTAGGTCCTCCAGCGATTCTGCCATAAGGACTATATCGTCGGCAAATAGAAGGTGAGTGATGTACTCGCCATTGATGTTAATACCGTATCCTTTCCAGTCCAGAAGTTTGAAAACGTCTTCCAATGCAGCGGTGAAGAGTTTCGGGGATATAACATCACCCTGTCTTACACCTCTCTGCAATTGGATAGGTTTCGTACTCTGGTTCTATACTCGGATAACCATCGTAGCTCTACTGAACAAACATTTCAGCACTTCGATATACCGACAGTCAACTTGGCACCGCTAAAGGGACTGCAGCATCGCCCAAATTTCGACGGAATCAAAGGCTTTCTCATAGTCTACATACGCCAGATATAGTGGACTAGTTGGACTCTTCGGACTTCTGTACAATTTGCCGAAGGGTATGTATGTGGTCTATGGTGCTAAAGCCCTTCTGGTAATTATTATAATAATACATAATTCGAAGAGTGTGTACAGGAATAGCCTAAATTCCTCCTTCCCTATTCCGCCATCGGATAACCTGACGATCGTTGGGCCTCGTCTGATAACAATACGAGTGTTTTCAACGCAAGAGTCAATAGGCTGATGGCTGTTGCTATGCTAAGACAGTGTGAATTTCCATCTAAAGCTTCATTACAATTTACCAACAGGTGGGATTGCGGTTAAGCACTACCATATCATTAATAAAAAAAGTGTCACGCACGGGCGCCGGCGTGTGTAAATACTCGTACCTGTCCTACAGGTATTGGAATATATCGATACGACTTAGGGACCTTCAAGAAAAGAGCCTACTCCTTTTTAAAAGGCCGGCAACGCATCTGCGATTCCCCTGGTGTTGCAGTTGTTCATGGGCGGCGGTATTCACTTACAATCAGGTGAGCCGCATGCTCGTTTGGCCCTGGTTTGGTTCTGTACTCGGATAGCCATCGTAGCCCTACTGTACAAGCACTTCAGCACTTCGATATACCGACGGTCAACTTGGCACCGCTGAAGGGACTGCAGCACCGCCCAAATTTCGACGGAATCAAAGGCTTTCTCATAGTCCACATACGCCAGACATAGTGGCAAATTGTACTGCTCGGACTTCTGTACAATTTGCCCAAGGGTATGTTTGTGGTCTATGGTGCTAAAGCCCTTTCGGAAACCGGCTTGTTTGGGAGGCTGGAAGTCGTCAAGTCTAGACATATCCTCATACATTTCCTCCACCTCCTCATCGGGGTGTGCAGAGGTTGGCGCGTAAACCTGTATGACCTTCAGCGAATACCGTTTGGTGATTCTGAGATTTCTGAGTATAAGGTACGCAACCCTCGTCGATACACTCCCAAACTTTACAACGCTGTTAACGAGAGACTTGTGGACGATAAATCCGACAGATGGTCGTCCTCCCGGTGATAGAACAAGTTGCCGGATTCGAGGATTACCGTGTCCTCCCCTCTCTTCGGACCTCGGATAATCCTATAATATTCCGGCGCAACTTGTCTATCTCTTCTTCCAGCTCCAGGATCTTCTCGTCAGTCCTCAGGGTGCGTGCGTTATAAGTTGCCAGTTTGAGTCGTCGTAGGTGGCAACCGAACCTCCATCGAAAATTCTTAGCACCCCCTGCCCCACCGTTACCATGGTCGTCACCGTAGCCAGGAATAGCGTGGCCGCCGGGGACTGGGGGCCGTTTCTTTGTTACTCTCATCATAGGGGGGGTATTTGCCATAGTTGCCACGCTTAGCGAGCGGGTTGGCAACCGCAGTATTTTTATTGTAAGTCTGTTGTTATGAGGAAGATGCTGCTGCCCATCTCCTGCCTGTTTCCCTTTGTCGCCTTTTACGACACCCAGGGGAAGATATGGGGTAGTGGATATTCTTAACCGCTACTACACGGCCTTTCTTATTAATTCTCATCAATTGTTTTATCAATTGTTGCATTAATTTTTAAATTCAGTGAGATTAATTTAATTTACAAGCTTTCTTTTTCTAAAAATATGTAAAGAACGCACAAAACGACAATTTCGTGTACATTTCAAATTGATAAATTGTTTAATTCAACTTACCTCCCTCTTCTTCAGAGTCGGACATGAATGTTTCCAGCATAGTCTCGGGTGCGACGACCTTGTATTTCTCTTGTGAAGCTGCCGTTATAGAGGGATCGGAGACTTCCTTTAGAGTTTCCATCACTGTCACGTAGCCCAGTTTCGAAGCTATATCCAGCGGAGTTTGGCCACTCTAGTACAAAAAATAAATAACTATTAAAACAAAGTATCCAACTGCATTGATCTTTATATAAAATATAACTATGGGTGAGCGATGGGTGACTACTGTTAGTGAGTTCTAAACGACTTGACCAACTGAAATAATATGCATAATATTATATATAAAAATTTATATTTACACTGCAAAATCAGTTAGACTGAAATTCATCGCGATACCTACCGAATACTCTACGTCTACTGAGCCATCTAATATTTATCTTTATAGGTATATATAAATAAAATTGTAGTATTTGTCTATAACATTGAAATAACTTCCTTTTATTGAGCTGAAATGTATTTGTATGCCATTAATATATGAATAACTAGTTTAAATATGTTGCTCTGTCTGTCTGTTCGGGCTCATGTTCGGTATGGTTGAACCGATTGTAATGAAATTTGACGAACAGTTAAAGGAGTATATATATATAGGCTATATTTTATACGAAGTATTTGAAGATTTTTTTAAAAATCTAATAATTAATAATTACTAAATAAAGCCGATTTAAGGTATAGCCGCGGCGTGTCGCTAGTATTCTAAATAATTGATGGTGCATCTGTTAGTGATCATGTAACTTCTGAACGACTTGACCAATTGAGGTCATATCCACACAATATATTAGTTTTGTGGAGACGATGGTTCCCAACTATGTTAAGACCCAATATGTGATGCTGCAGTCAAGTTATTACCCAATTTAAGAACCAAAACGCCTCTATGTTTACAATATAATCTTGGTCTAGTGCCAAAAATATAATCAAGTCTGGGACAATTTACAATTCCATTGTAAAAAGTCCGAAGTGAATTGGGAGTTAAGCTCGTCGCGTCATCTACCAGTAATAAAACTAAAGTAATAAAACGGTATGATTGAATACTTACGACTGTTGTGGCGTTTGGATCGGCCTTATGTTCGAGAAGTATATTGACGATGTTAATATGGCCTTGCTGAGCAGCATGGTGGAGAGCAGTGTACCTGAATGCAGATTAGTGCGTCAAGTATTTTTATTCATGTTACGCCAACCACAGAAATCCAAACAAATTAGCTTAGTAGCACCCACAGTTATGGAAGGAGCGGGTAAATATTATTTAACATAAAAAAAAAATACTTAATTGGCTATGTTTTTTCACTAAGAAATACGTCTAGCGATAAAAGAAGTTCTGACTCATGAGAAATAAATAACGTAAATATATACTCGTAGACTAATTGTGAAACTTAAAAACGACATTGAAGATGGTTGCTATAAGCTGGCAATATCTTTATTCGCATCAAAATTTCTGAACGAGGTTTCTTCACTATTTAAAATAAGCATCATTTACCCATGATTTGTCTGTGCCTTTACAGATGCTCCGTTTTCAAGCAGGTAACGGACCATGTTCGCTTGTCCGTAGTGACTGGCGATGTGCAGGGGTGTGTAGCCGCCCTTGGTGCAGATATCCACCTGTAGGCACAACGTTTAAACTACTATGCGGGCAAAATATAAATAGGATTAAGTCTACTAATAACTTAAAATTTTAACGCAGTCATGATGCGTTGACATTTTATGATTATTATTTTATTTATTTTAAAAGAATGCGTTTACTTAAAAGTATTTTAGTTGTTTTTGAGAATAAACAACATCTTGAAGTTAGTGCGCAATGCGAAACAAAATGTAAGATTGATAGTTCTATTCTTATTTTGCGCGTTTCGCGTTGTATAAAATTTCAACTTCTAGTCCTTAGATAAATCAAACTTACAAAACAAAAAACATAAATTGTTAAAATAATTTTCTGAATTTCAAAAATAAGATAATAAATTCACAAACAAAATATGAAGAAGCAGAAACAAAAAGTGTCCAAACCTGGCCACCATTTTTGACTAGCAGCTGAGCGACCGCTACTCTATCTTCTTGGGCCGCGAGATGTATCGCCGCTAAGCCGTTCTTAGCTTGGTGGTCTACTTCTGCGCCGTGCTCCAGTAACAAGGAGCACATTTCAGCGTGACCCTGTAGATAAGAAAACATTTAATTGTTTCAAAAGAAAAACAAAAACAATAACGATGCATTTTTTATTAATTACATAATTTTAAGGATTCCGTCTTTGGAGTTCTTTACAGCACACGTAAGAATGTGTTCAACATGACGTCGCTAGTATTAGAATTATCTATTATTTTTTTATTAAGACTCGTACGGTAATTTTTGCCACTGTCAAGTAATAAAAAAATATTTTATAATATTGAATTTAAACAAAAGATTTCTTGACAATTTGCTGATGAGTCACATTGCGAAGTTTTTGGGAGATTTAGCGGACAATAAAATTTGAGCAGCTGCATGTGTTAACTTTTTTTTTTTATTATAAGTTTAATAGTTTGTACAACTATTCATGTAAAATTTACTTTTAAAAAAAGTCTTTCTATTGTATATTATTTATATTGAATAAAAAAAAATCTATTCTATTCTGTTATTATTGTTTAAAAAGCGTCACTGCCACCATCCTAAGATTTTGCCTATACAGCGGAGGCACTTGCATAAACCGCATATAGACAATCGTCCAGTAAATTCTTTGTAGGCCATACAAACACTTGTTTCGTGTAGGATTCGAACACACAGTCCAGCATCGCGGCCACTGCGTGACCAAGCCGTCAAATAAACAATATCTCGAAATGTTGCCGAAATTGTATTTGTGAGAATAATTGTAGGTTTGTGTATAAGCAAAGAATATATACACTACGCGAAGCATAACTGGATTGTGTGTAGGGTAACCTATTATCATGCTAAATGCATACTTTTTTTTTTCTTTATTATTCATAGAACCAACAGCACGTTATAAACAGAAGTTCACAGATAATCCTTAATGCCAATTACAGGTTCTTACTTTATATACATAATATACATACTATAGTTGTTAATTGACAAATTAATGATATTAATTATATAGTGCTTAGATTTTTAAAAGTTATCTTAAAAATAAGTTTAAACATAAAATAGGCAATAAGCAAAGAAATAAAGAATATTACACATCAATACAGTCTGTACAATTAATAATTAACAGAAATGAAATTTCCATTACGTATCATGTACCTAACACATCTGGGCGCGCGCGCGCGTGCGTTTGTGTGCGTGTGTGTGTGTGCGTGTGTGAGTGCGTGCGCGCGCATGTGCGCGTTCGTGTGTGTGGGCGTGTGTGTGTGTGTGTGTTTGGTTCTCTTGCTTAATAATAAAATAATTTCTTTCTTAAAGATTGATTTCTTTTTCCCTATTAGACTCTAAATGATTGATACTATATGCTCTATTAGACTAAATGCAGACTATGCATCCTTATCCTCGAGGACTAAGATGGAAAGCCTCATTACCAATAAAAAGTCTTCGTTTTTCGTCATACTACGTACAAAGCACATTAGTATTATGCTGTTATTTTGGGTTGGTAGTGTATAAGCGTGGTCCTTCTCCAGTTTAGCCAGTCCTTCCATTTTTTGTTTGAGATATTTGAGTTGTAGTAGTTGAGCTGTTCATGCTGCAGCCATAACACAGTGCAACTTGGCTCTACCACGTTAAACCGATAAATTATTATTAACTATGCTCCATACCTGCTGAGCCGCGAGGTGAAGAGGTGTGAATCCAGCTTTGGACTCTGCGTTGGTGAGCGCCCCGTACTCAAGTAACGTAGCAGCAGTTTCCATCTGGTTCTTGCGAGCCGCTATATGGAGCGGTGTGTGCCCGTTCTTGGCAACTGCCTGTACATGAGTGAATTAAGATCACAATTTTAATTTGTAATGCAAAATGATAAGAGCCGTGATTGTTCCGGGGCTAAACGCTGTCACTAAATTTCACAGTACGCGAGTAACCCAGATTCGATCCTAGCCGGTATTAATAAATAATAATAAAAAAAATATAAAATTCATGTTCTCAATTTACAAAAACGTATATAAATATTATTTACAGCTGCCACCAAACAGACATAATGTACTCGTAAATTTCTAGTAAATTTTAGTAGTATGTAATAGTAGATTTTAAAATTATTATATTGTTGGTAATAAATAATTTACGATGTTATTATTATAAAGTCAGCAATACCTGCATCTCTTTTTTTCTTATTTACTCACTATATGTGTATGTGTGGTAGGTGCTACAAGTGTAACGTCATAATAATTGTACTGGTTGTTGCATATTCGTTCGTACGTTACTCACTAGAGGGCGCACTGAAAACCAGCTTCGTGGAAATACCACGAAATAATGCTGAGTGTAGTTGTATTGATTCCATTTTATTTAGGCTTTAGTTTTCTTTTGGTCTGTAGTTATAAGTTTTTTAGTGTATAATATCTTTTGTAACATGTGTCTTGGTGTTTGTTGTAATAAATATATTTCTTTCTTTCTTTCTTTGTAATAACATTGTTAGTTGCAATTTTAAGTGCTGATTTACTGAGTGTTCGGCGATGAAGGAAACCCCGCTTATTCGAGGAATAAATTATTTAAAGTCCCTCAACACGCTCTGTAGCACCGCGGCGAACTAAATTCTCAATAAATTCCAGAAATGAAAGGTCTGTCTCCAGATGTGCCATGAGATTGTAACTTGTTGACTGCTAAATGATTTTACCCAACACAACCTTGAACATTTAGCTTAGCGTATCTTTATTAAAATGAAGAATGAGTTGATAGTTTTAAATTTTTTAAGATTTTTAAGATTTTGATTTTATTTTGCATTTAGACAGAATAGAGAAGAACAAAATTTGATAGCGCGTTACAATAAAATAATGTTTAAGGCCCAAAGAGTATTCAAGTCTAGCAATACTCGTCACCCAAGCGACAAGTCCAGGCTTCAGGAAATAAGGAGCGTCCTTGAGGCTGTTTTATATTTTTTATTAATCTGTAACAAATTCTAATATTCCATCAACAACTCCAAATAATAATTACAACCCTGTCGTATTATAGTTGTAATACAATTGTAATGCGACTCTTATATATCTAAACTGCAAATAAATCATCATAAAAGTGGCATGCTTGGTTTTTATTATTGTTCTATTTAAATTTCTTACTGTAATGGTGACTTCTAGTGGCTAAGTTTGGAAACTGTCCTCCCTAATAATCATAATAATGTATACATTGTTGTGATGGTGAACAAACTAATGAGAGTCATACCTTAGCATCTGCGCCCTTTTCGAGCAGCGTGGTGGCGACGGGCTGCTGGTCGTACTGCGCGGCGACGTGCAGCGGCGTCATGCCGTTCTTGCCCGCCTGGTCCGGCGACGCTCCATGCGCCAGGAGCAAGTTCGCCACCTGGATGTTTCTTATATATGTATCTAATAAGGGTGACAAGTGAGCACACAATACACAGTAAGTGGATACTGTGGTCCATAGACATCTATATACATCCTCGATTAAAAAACAATATAGAGATGCGTGGTTACCCCTGAGGACTAAGATGCCTTGTATCCATTAAAAAGGGTGTCAGATTCCCTACACTCACCATACAAAATTGCTATTTTACACTGGTATACTGTGGGAGTTGTTCTACCCCGATGGAGCCGATGCGTTCGCGGTACAACTATAATACAGCTGCAGCATGACTCTACCACGTAAAATAAATAAATGTTTAATTTTCTTTAGGATCTGATTATTTAGTTGATAACGTGAGAAAGACATAATGTTTCATTAAATGAATTTAAGGTCAATTTTCATTAAATTCTAAAACGTCAAGCGTGTCTCGTAACATTTGGAAAATTCTGTTTATTACCATTATATATTATTATTTCATATTATATTAATGAGAGAAACCTTTAAATTCCCGTATTTTGCCGCCAAATGTAAAGCAGTGAAGCCTTTTTTAGTAGTCGCTGTTAGAGGGGCGTTGTGTTCTATCAGGGCTGCAGCAACCTAGAAATAGAAGAAGTTGTTAATATTTAAATAAATTATTTTTTTTACTCTCTATCTCTAATACAACACTGGATTATGCCGCTTACCTTCTGAAAATTTAGTTAAACTTAGAGTAGGGAATAAACATTATTTATTATATTAAGTAAGTTGAAGTTTCAATGAGCCGGCTATGTAATTCTAAAAACCGACAACCAATGGGGAAGAAAGGTTCTCGAATGGTAGCCTCGTATCGGGAAGGGAAGTGTGGGGTCAAATGGTTATAGAGCAATTAGTTCACCAGTGCGTGTTTGTGGAATTTCCTCGAGATATTCCTGAGACATACAGATTTCTTCACATTAAATTTCGTGTGCAACATGTTACATATACGGATAATTTTCAATATTAATAATAACTTCTTCTCTGACAACAACCTCCTACAAAATTTTCTAAAATTGGTAAGAGGAAAAAAATGGTAAATTAAATTACAAGTTGAGAAATAACTAAATAACAATATGTATTTAAATAACTGATCTATTAACTGAATTATTTAAATGTTGGAAACATTTAAATAATTTCATTTTGATAGACTTTTTTTTTATAGAATAAGGATGACAAACGAGCACACATTCCACCTGATTTTAAGTGCATGCTGAGGCCCATAGACGTTGACATTATGTTCGGTTAAGAATCAAATTGCCGTGTAGTGGCGGTTTGCCGTGTAGTGGCGGTTTGCCGTGTAGTGGCGGTTTGCCGTGTAGTGGCGGTCAAGAATATCCACTACCCCATATCCTCCCGTGGGTGTCGTAAAAGGTGACAAAGGGAAACAGGCAGGAGATGGGCAGCAGCATCTTCCTGATAATAGCCAAAATTACAATAAAAAAAACTGCGGTTGCCAACCCGCTCGCCAAGCGTGGCAACTATGGCAAATACCCCCCTATGAATGTAACAAAGAGACGGCCCCCAGTCCCCGGCGGCCCCGCTATTCCTGGCTACGGTGGCGACCATGGTAACGGCGGGGCAGGGGGTGCTAAGAATCTCCGGTGGAGGTTCGGTTGCCACCTTAGACGACTCGACCTGGCAACGTACAACGCACGCACCCTGAGGACTGACGAGAAGATCGTGGAGCTGGAAGAAGAGATAGACAAGTTGCGCTGGCATATTATAGGATTATCCGAAGTCCGAGGAGAGGGGGAGGACACGGTAATCCTCGAATCCGGCAACTTGCTCTATCACCGGGAGGGCGACCATCTGTCCCAAGGAGGTGTCGGATTTATCGTCCACAAGTCTCTCGTTAACAACGTTGTAAAGATCGGGAGTGTGTCGACGAGGGTTGCGTACCTTATACTCAGAATCACCAAACGGTATTCGCTGAAGGTCATACAGGTTTACGCACCAACCTCGGCACACCTCGATGAGGAGGTGGAGGAAATGTATGAGGATATCTCTAGAGCCATGCATTCCTCCAAAACCCAATATACGGTGTTAATTGGAGACTTCAATGCAAAACTAGGCACAAGAGAGAACGGTGAGCTGAAAGTAGGGAAATTTGGAATAGGGCAACGGAACCCAAGGGGCCAGCAGCTGGCCGACTTCATGGAGAAAGAGGGACTCTTTATGATGAACTCTTTCTTCCAGAAGCGGCCCCACAGGAAGTGGACCTGGTCGAGCCCCGACGGTTCGACAAAAAATGAGATTGACTTCATTATGACGACCAGACGATAACTGTTCAGTGATGTCTCCGTGATCGCGAGGGTGAAAACTGGTAGCGATCACCGAATGGTTAGAGGTACACTGAACCTAAACGTTAAGTTGAAGAGGTCTCGTCTAATGAAGTCAACGCTCCGTCCCCCTCGTGCTCTGTTCTTTCAGCTCGAGTTACAAAACCGTTTTCAGTGCCTAGAAGACTGCCATGAAGTGGACGATATGAATGACAAGCTCGTGGAAACTGTCCATGCGGTCGGAGCTAAGTTCTGCAAGACCTGCCGCAGAAGAACACAAAAACTCTCCGATCACACTCTTAATCTCATGGCTGTTAGACGGGAGATGAAGCTACATTCTTCAACAGACTTGACAGCATACAGGCATCTGAACAGACAGATCTCCAAATGCATGCGGCGGGACTTACGCAACTTTAATACAGCTCGTATTGAAGAAGCGATCGAGCGGAACCAAGGCCCCAAAGTCTTTGCCAGAGATCTGTCTGCCAGAAAGAGCCACCTGTCAAAGCTGAAGACAGAATGTGGCAGCATCGTTTCCCGGACACCTGAGATTTTGAGTGAGATTGAGAGGTTCTATGGGCAGCTGTACACGTCATCGTTGGAGCCACACGCAAGTGTGAGTAACGATCCAAGAGCGAGTCTCATCCGACACTATTCCGAAGATATCCCGGACGTCAGTCTGAGCGAAATTAGAATGGCTCTCCAGCACCTTAAAAACGCTAAGGCCCCAGGCGAGGATGGAATTACAGCGGAGCTTCTGAAAGCGGGTGGAAAACCGGTACTTGAAGTCCTTCAGAAGCTCTTTAATTCCGTCCTCCATGGTGGCATTACACCGGAGGCGTGGAGCAGAAGTGCGGTGGTCTTGTTCTTCAAGAAAGGTGACAACGCTCTCTTGAAGAACTACAGACCGATTTCCCTTCTGAGCCGCGTCTACGTGCTGTTTTCGAGAGTCATTACGAATCGTCTCGCGCGCAGACTTGACGACTTCCAGCCTCCCGAACAAGCCGGTTTCCGAAAGGGCTTTAGCACCATAGACCACATACATACCCTTCGGCAAATTGTACAGAAGTCCGAAGAGTACAATTTGCCACTATGTCTGGCGTATGTGGACTATGAGAAAGCCTTTGATTCCGTCGAAATTTGGGCGGTGCTGCAGTCCCTTCAGCGGTGCCAAGTTGACTGTCGGTATATCGAGGTGTTGAAGTGCTTGTACAGTAGGGCTACGATGGCTATGCGAGTACAGAACCAGAGTACGAAACCTATCCAATTGCAGAGAGGTGTAAGACAGGGTGACGTCATATCCCCGAAACTCTTCACCGCTGCATTGGAAGACGTTTTCAAGCTTCTGGACTGGAAAGGATACGGTATCAACATCAATGGCGAGTACATCACTCACCTTCGATTTGCCGACGATATAGTCCTTATGGCAGAATCGCTGGAGGACCTAAGCACTATGCTCAATGACCTCGATAGTGTTTCCCAACGGATAGGTCTTAAGATGAACATGGACAAAACAAAGATCATGTTCAATGTCCATGTCACACCTATGCCGGTAGTTGTTGGGAGCACTAAGCTCGAAGTTGTTGACGAGTATGTTTACCTGGGACAAATAGTCCGACTAGGTAAGTCCAACTTCGACCGAGAGGTCAATCGGCGGATTCAACTCGGCTGGGCAGCGTTCGGGAAGCTACGACACATCTTCTCGTCAGACATACCTCAAAACCTGAAAACGAAATTGTACAACCAGTGCGTGTTGCCAGTGATGACTTACGGAACTGAGACGTGGTCCTTCACTGCTGGCCGTATGAGGAAGCTCAAGGTCGCTCAGCGAGCTATGGAGAGGGCTATGCTCGGAGTTTCTCTGCGTGATAAACTTAGGAATGAGGATATCCGCAGTAGAACCAGAGTAACCGACATAGACCAACGGATTAGTAAGCTGAAGTGGCAGTGGGCCGGCCATATAGCTCGAAGAACCGACAACCGATGGGGAAGAAAGGTTCTCGAGTGGCAGCCTCGTACCGGTAGGCGAAGTGTAGGGCGTCCCCCCACGAGATGGAGTGACGACCTGGTAAGACATGCAGGAAGTCGATGGATGCAGGTGGCTCAGGACCGTGCTTTGTGGCATTCTTTGGGGGAGGCCTATGTTCAGCAGTGGACTTGTGAAGGGCTGTAATGATGATGAATGATGATAATGAAGAATCAAAATGCAAATGTGTTGTCATCCTTGAGGTCTAAGATGGAATGCCTCGTTTAAAGTCAATAAAAGAAAAGTCTCCGGTTCTCTACACTACACCATACGAAATACAGCAGCATTGAGCTGCTATTTTACGTTGGTATTCCGTGCGAGCGTGGTCCTACCTTGGACGAGCCGACCTATTAGTTCTACAACCATAATATAGCTGCAGAAGGGCTGTACCAAGTATAAAACTATGTCAAACAAAACATTACAGTTTTCCTATAGATTTCGAACATATCTGTAATTTTATAAAACGACGAGCAGTTAGCATCGAGGCTACGAATAGATGATCATGCAACACTCACATCATGATTGTGCTGCTTTGCGGCGATATGCAGCGCATTGTAGTGGTCCGCGGTCATGGCCCTGACGTCGGCGCCGTGCTGCAGCAGTAGAACCGCGATATCCACGTTGCCGAGCCGGGACGCGATGTGCAACGGGGTCTGACGCTCGCGGGCCTTCGCCTCCACCGCGGCGCCATTCCGTAGCAAGATGCGGATGATATCAGTCTAGGGAAAATCGTTTTTAAAACATGAAGTTAATTTAATTTCATATGGTGGTATTTAATTTTTTATGATGGTTTTTTGACTATATCAAGATAGTTTAGCTCAATGAATAGAGATCGCTTGGCGATATCAACAACTAAACACAACATTGCTATTTATTCATATTGTTATATCCTAAAATAATTTCATTACACACCTAACTATATGCCTAATTTATGTATTATATAATTTTGGTGGCTTATTTGTGTGATTGGTCCACGTAAGTCGCACCTCAACTTATCGTCGCTGACTAATAGAGGGTACAGTTTTAAACCGCGGGTAAAAAGCTAGTTTATTCTTAATCATAAATTATGAATTATTTATGGAAACCCCTAAACATACGAGTAATTAATAGAATCTCTACCTGGTTAGCCCTGGCCGCTAGGTGCAAGGGAGTCTCACCCCTGACAGTGGGCACGTCGGGGTTAGCCTCATGCTGCAGCAGGTATATGACTATGTTCATACAGCCCATGAACGCAGCCACATGAAGCGGGGTGAGACCAGACTCTGTGGTCGCTTGAATACCTACGACATAAACGAAATATTAACTTCAAATATATTAAATAACTAAGACTAAGTCTACGCCTTTCATAAATATTATCACCAACTGACTTTTTTTTTGAACTAGATATTTAATTTGGTTATTTTTTTCCTACTATAACATATATATATATATATATAAAAACCAATTTTACACATGGTAGAGCCATGCTGCAGCTATATTAGAAGTATAGTTGTAGCACGAATATATCGGCTCAACCGGGGAAGGACCACGCTCTCACAGAATACCAGCGTAAAATAGCAGCTTAACACTGCTGTGTTTCGTATGGTGAGTGTAGAGAACCGGAGACCCATTTTACTGGAAGAGAGGCATTCCATCTTAGTCCTCACAGGTGACAACGCATCTACATTTTAATTCGCAAACGAGGATAGATGTAGACGTCTATGGGCCACAGCAACCACTTACCATCAGGTGAACTGTGTGCTCGTTTGTCACCCTATCCTATACAAAAAAATTGTAGAAGAGAATTTAAAAAAAGGTAATTTTATAAAATTAGTTATGTACATTATAATTTTTAATCAGACTGAGGTGGAAAAAAAACTTACTTGCGCCATATTTGAGAAGCAGCTCTACAACTTTAATTCGATTTTTCTTGCAAGCAATGTGCAAGGGAGTGAATCCGTTCAAAGCTCGTGCGTTTGCATCGGCATTTCTGTAGGAAAAATAAATAGCTTATATAGTTTAGATTTTCCATCAAGATAATATGTCGTAGTTATTACAATGCCGCAAGCCAAACACACCGAAGCCTAAATCACGCTATCAAAGTTCTGAAGTTAATGCGCTATATATAGAACAGCTCCGACATAACACACTGAGCGTTGGCTGCTCGGCGGGAGATCTCCGCTCCCCTTTTCCTTACACGGCCAAATTACTGACCAACCGACGTGATGTGAATCAACAACCTTCGGAAAACTACAACTTTAAACCTTGGTCATTATCCTGAAGAACCCTACCATTCACTCCCGAGAATCATCTTCTGCACTCTTCAGCTCCTGCAAGCCAGTCTTCATCTCGAATCACAGCAGATTTATACACCGGCATTACTTGCAAGTGCACATTATGGCATGCATTACACACCGGTATATTGTTCACACCGGCGTTACGCACACAGCATGAATTCCCCACCGGCATTAGCCACGACGCACGATGGACGAACCGGCAATCGGACTGCAATATCAACCTCCCGATATGATGTGGGGGCGCTGTAGTCGCGCCACAAGCGAAACTTAAATCACGTTATCAAAGTTTTTTTTATTCTACTAAGCCAGTGCTTATCTACGATCCCACCTGATGGTAAATGGTGATGTAGCCTAAGATGGTGAAGCGCACTGACTTAACAAAAGCCTATTCACTCTTGCCATATATTTATTTATTTTTTATTGGAGAGGGGGAAAACGAGCATACGGCTCACCTGATGGTTAGTGACTACCGCCGCCCATGAACAACTGCAACACCAGGGGAATTTCAGGTGCGTTGCAGGCCTTTTAGAAAGGAGTAAGCTCTTTATATAGAACAGCCCCGAGCTGAACAATGTGTGCGCGGCGGGAGATCTCCCCTTTTCTTTCCACGTTCAAAAAATCAAGCAGTTATAATGTCTAACTTAGTAGAATTTACGTAAATTGCGTAAATTATTAAGTAAAGAATTGGGTGAAGTGTAAGATGTGAAGTATTGTTTCCGTAATCACAGTACATTAACGCCGACAGTCGTAGTGCTTCTTTCCTGTCAACAACTCAATCTGGATAGCTTAATAGACGATGAGTATTTTATTATTATTCTGTTATGTATTATTCTGTATTAACTAACAATTAATCTAATTTTTTCTTTCTATTCTTACCTGTCTAGCAGCAACTTTGCAACTTTCGCGTGGCCGCAGTGAGCGGCAACGTGAAGCGCGGTGAGGTAGTCGACGGTGACGTCATCGACGGGCGCCCGTCGCGACAGCAGCACTCGCGCCGCTTCGGCATGGTCGCCCTGCGCCGCCATGTGCAGGGGAGCGAGCCCGTTCTGACCACATAATAATTAAATAAAGTAACAAACCTACATATGCCATACTATTAGTCCTTTTAATTTCTGAAAGCGGTTTGGAGGAATGGTCGGTCTCAACGCCATGATCACCATTACAGCATCTTACAAGTCTACTGCTAACCCACCTACATTCACAGGCTTCCTGCATGTTTTGTCAGTTCTCGGTCACCATGGGTTCTTCGGATTCGGTCAGTCAGTTCTTTACCATACCAGATTTATTCTTTACAATTAATAGGCGGACCCATGTCCAGTGTCAGCTAGACTGTTTAGGCATAAGGTATAAGTGAACCAAAATGTCGTTTTCCCGGAAGGACTTTTTTTATATGTATAGAAGAGGGGGCAAACGAGCATGCGGCTCACCTAATGGTAAGTGACTACTGCCGCCCATGAACAATTGCAACACCAGTGGGATTACAGGAGCGTTGCCGACCTTTTAGAATGATGCGGCAAATGATAGCCTTTTATGCCATAGATAGTTGCTTTGATGACAGAATCCTTAACGAAGACTCGATAGCATCAGAGTAACGGACATAGAAAAAATTTAAATAGTAATAGATCGGAAATGTATAATGGTTTTCGAGTTATGGCTTTGTATTAGTTTTTTTTATAGGAGAGGGGTCAAACGAGCATACGGCTCACCTGATGGTAAGTGATTACCGCCGCCCATGAACAACCAGGGGAATTGTAGATGCGTTGCCGGCCTTTTAAAAAGAGTACACTCTTTTCTTGAAGGTCCCTAAGTCGTATCGCTCCGGAAAAATCTCTGGTGGTAGTCAATACCATAAGGAAGTTATGCAAAGAAGAAAACTTATTTTAAATCGCACAGTGGTGGACCGTCAGTCATCCAGATGGTATGGATGGTATCGCGAGTTTTGTTGCGATGTGCGATGGTGAAATTGTGGGGCTGGAATTAGTCCGAACAATTCCTCACAGCACTCCCCGTGGTAAATGCGATAAAATAGGCAAAGAGATGCAACATCTCTTCGCAGTGCCAGTGCTAGCTCTGGAAATACATGGTGATGGATGCTAGTGATATAAGACCATGTTTTGTGGTAATCTATAGAGAAGATTTATTCTATGTAGTTTTTATGTTTACCTTTTAGACTTAAATGATGAATTATTTTTAAGTACTAAAATGAAAGATGTAGATAATTATATATTTTTATACATTGGTTTCACCATATCTTTTGATTTTCATGCACTTTCTGTCATAGTCATAGTTCACCAACTCACCTTGCTCTTGCTAGTGATGGGCGCGCCTCTGTCAAGTAGAGTCTCAACTACTCGTTCGTGTCCTGACCGTGCGGCGCAGTGCAACGGTGTCAGGCCATCCCTAGTGCGAGCTTCAACGTTTGCGCCATTGTCACATAGCAGTGACACCATGTTTTCTTTCCCTGGATATAATTAAAAAAAATATTACAAATTTCTATTAATATTAAAACAAGTAAAACTTTTAAGTCGATTTAAAAAAAATGAGTTCACAATTTGACTAAATGTGAACACCGACTTTAATTATTCTTTTTATTTAATGGGTTTTGTAATTTAATGGTAAAGTATTATTTAATGGAAATAGGTTATGTATAATTTAGAAGTGTCCTATATAAAGAAGAAAAAACACCCTCTACTCGTAAGACGATACTCTAGAAGTTACCTTGATTTTGTGATATTTCTTAGTCCACACAAAAGGTTCAAAAAGGAAACGCTTACTTTTTATATAGAATAAGGGTGACAAGCGAGCACAAAGTCCACCAGATGGTAAGTGAATGCTGTGGTCCATAGACATCAACATTTATCTTCGATTGAAAATCAAAATGCAGACGATGGAATCGTTTTCAGTAAAAAAGGCTTCAGTTTTCTACACATAACATTAAAAAACAAAGTGGCATTAATCTGGTATATCTGTGAGCGTGGTTCTACCCCGGTCGCCTCGACCCAATCGTGCTACAACGATAATATAGTTGAAGCGTGACTCTACCACGTAACGAACTACACATACTTTCTTATTCAAATAATTGAAAGGAATAAAATAATTTTCACTTATAAGAATCTGAAGTCGGTGCAATTCTTCAATACACCATGTTTTAGTACCGACCTCAGAAGCAATAATGAGGAAATTATTTTGTTGTTGGCTTTAACTAGTTATTGAAAGTTTAATTTTAGCAGGAATGAACCCTCTGACGTGAAAAGCGATACAACACTAGAAATCCGTTTGCGCAGTAAACGGGCTTAGTAACGCATGGTGCGTAAGTGTTATGAGTTAATGACTTGTTTTTGCATGTATAAACTTTATATTCGTTCTTAGTTCTATTGATCTAGGAGTTATAAGTACTATCCTCTCAGTGATTATAGGTGTAACATATTTTTAATTTTTAATTTTATCGTACCCCACTTGGCGGCGACATGCAGCGGACAAATATTGTGCTTGGCGGCGCAGTTGACATCGGCACCCTTCGCCAGCAACAGCCTCGCCACCGCCTCGTTACCATAGTGAGCCGCTATATGCAGCGGCGTGAAGCCGGACTTCGAAGTCACGTCTGGGTTATGCTCGTTCTAAGGGTTACGGAACTTACGCTATTTTACTCTGGACACAATGTCTAATAAAATTATAAAGTACCTATTTCACGGATAAGAATCTATCAAACTTGTCAGTATTTTGAAGGCAGAATCTGCTCCAGTTTATGTATTTTCTAAATATATTAATGTAAAATTTCTAAATCAAAAAGTAAAGAAACGTAATATTTATTTTATTTGCTTTGAACTAAAATCATACAAAAGAACTATTTTCAAATATGTTGGAACATCTGTATATCCTTCCGTCAGTGATTAACAGCAGAACGTATATGACCATGTTATTCTATGTAGATGGCGAGAAATGTGCAATTAAAATAACAAATAACTTATCCATAGAGCTAACTAAAACAGTTTAAGACTTAACAGTCCACTGCTATTAATAAATAACGTAATAAATATGTTTTTCTTCTCACAATTAAGGACGACAAATAAGCATGTATGCGGGTCATCATCTGATGATAAGTTACAAGTGTTTCCCGTTCTCGGTTTTATCAATCTTTAGTTGTTTTATTTTTATACTAATTTCTATTCGAATGAGTCTAAAAAAACTATTTTTCTAACTACAAAACTCCTAATAAATTAAATTTATTTTGAGTAAATTAAGCAGTTTTGGATTAATTAAACAAATACGATAATAAATTTTTTTTTTATTGAAGTTGAAAAAAGATTGAACAATTGACCTCGAGTAATAAATTGGCAGCCTTGACATCGTCCTTCTTTGCAGCTATATGCAGCGCAGGCAGGCGGACTCTGCCACGTGTGTCTGCCTCTAGAAGTACAGCGACCACCTTCTCATGGCCCTGCTGCATAGCAACCGCAAGCGGAGTAAATCCGTCCTGGAAATTTAGGGTTTGTTTAAATTTTCTTTACTTTTTTAAAACTAGATACAGCCGAGATGAATCTAATAAATATATATATCATCCCGTGAGTGTATTAAGAGGCTATAGAGAAAAACTGATCTAGAATATGAGCGATAAGACGAGATAATAAATAAAACTGCCCCTGCCAACCACTTGCCAAACGTGGCAACTATGGAAAATATTTGCCACGTGTTTAGCAGTAGATTTTTGATAACCTATAATGATGATAATGATAACAATAATGTGATATACTAAATAAATAATATATTAACGTAATGTAACTTAATATTAACTAGTTACAATTGATTTTAAGTATATTTCCCTGTGGTGTAGGCGTAGGAGAATCTATCACCTCATTTCGTCCCGTTGGTTTCGTAACTCTGAGTTATTTCAGAAAGATTTCATGAAAACCCATAGATTCCCACAGGTAACATAGCTATATTGTTTTACGCCGTACGTAAACTAACTTATATTCATAGTTGCTACGCTTAGTAGGCGGGTTAGAGACCGCATTTTTTATATTTTTTAGTTGTTATTATTGAAGATGCATGTCCTTCAGTTCATGTGTTTCAGTTTCCTTTTTTTGCCTCCGACACCCATGAGATGATTTGGGATAGTTATTTTCTTACGGTGCTAATTTATTATAAATAAAACTACCATCAAAACATTTATTATTAACGTCCTGCGTATACAATATAACAACGGATAAGGGACGCTGTTGTGTCTGCCCCGCTTCTGTCATGCATCAGATATCTATGTTTGCCAAAGCCCGTACTAACGCCTTTCATGTCGTCATACGTAAAAAACACTTCTAAAAAGAATACGTGACTGCGCCAATATTGTGGCGTTCAGATAATCAAAGATATGACGCTCCGATAATTAAACATTTCGTTCACTCGATTATCAAACATAATATGTATCTATCCGTTCTTGATCAGCAAATGAAGGAATAATCAAATTATAAATATAAGAAGGAGCATACTATCTACTAGCACATTTAGTAATACCTATTAACCCATGGATCAATGAAATCTAAAGAAATAAATTTAATATTATTATCATTACCTCTGTAGCGAGACTCTGGTTGGCGCCATTAGCAAGCAAAAATTTGACAACGCCGTCATGGTTTTCTTGAGCAGCCATGTACAAAGGTGTGAAGCCATTCTGAGATTGGATGTTGACCTAGAACAAGATGTGGGTTAGTGGTTGAAAACACGTAGTAGGAAGACGAAAAACGTAAAACTAATATTGTTTCATAAATCATGAGTGATGATTTATTGAGGACTGAGATCAGTGTTAATTTTTCTGATTACATAAAAAATTAAACTATTCATAAAAAGTAAAAACTTCTTTGGAGTCCAAAGAATCAAAAGAATAAAATAATTTTCACATAATAGCTTTTAAAGTCGGTGCTAAGACATAGTGAATAAAAGAGTTTAAGTGCTAATTATTTGACCCTTTTTAAGTAGAATTGGGATAATCACAAGCTCAAGTTATTAAACAATTAGTATGTCATCTAAATATTCAAATTAAAACGATATCGTGGTACTTTTCTCCAAATTTATATGGGACCTTAAGTAGGTCGTATGGGATATTAAGTATAAAGAATGTAATAAAACTAATTAAAATTGGTTCCAGATTGACAACGATATCACATAACATACATACAAAAAAAAACATAAGTCACACAGAAATAAAGTCAGCTGTTATTTTCTTTGAATATAATGAAAAATACTAAAACGGATCGCTTAATACAACTAGAAGCATACGTTCGATTATTTGGAGGGTTTTAACTCAAACTTGACCGCAAGCGTATAATTTTCTGTTTATTCTTCGAATAATGAAAACGAATGATTAAAAGCGGATGGAAATAACTTTTACATCTTTCGATTTTGTGTATATTAATGGAAACGACGAAACAAGTACTCCGTTGGTGATACAATTCTCAAGCTAAAGTTTCAAGCTATATAATATGCGAGAAGATCCAGTCAAATTTACAGCAAGTGATCTACCACAGCTCTATTCTTTCTGTCTAAATACAATATGAGTGTCTTCATTGAGGGAGTTCAGTTCAGGCTTATTAAATCAATGATATTTTTTTAAAGTCTTCTTTTATTAAAGGGTTTCTTGCTGGTTCTTCACCGAACAGAGTGTTGTATTCCGAACCAGTGGTAAGGCTTAAATGACTTTCAATAAGTATTCTTGTAATTAACATTGAACAAAAATGATTGTATTCTATTCTATTCTAATGTGAATTATTAACCCATAGATAATGAAATATTAAATTCGATGATATTTATTAAAGTACTACATCTGTACGGTCTGTTCCAGCTTCGAACGACTGATTTTTTGATCTCGGCAACAGCGCCAACAACAGCAAAGATCAGGTGACCCCATAAGTACCCCACAAAAATTTCATCAAAAATGATCTAGCCGCTTTGGAGGAGAAGAATTACGAACACACGCACACCGGAATTTTATATGTAAAGATATGCATAGTACTACAATCTACTATGTATATCTTTATACATGTGGATCCTAAATGACAAACCACACAGAAAGTTTTGTAAAAAATATATTTTGCATGATGCACTGACCAGTTATCATTAATTTTGAAAAAAACTATTATTTGCAAGTAAAAATAAGAGAGTTATGGCGGGAATTTGCCTGCCGGCGGATTGCTGCTCTTGTAATATCGTTTATAATGTAATGGTTTGCAGAAGATTTTGATACGTAAAAGTGGTGCGATTTTGTGTAGTAAATGTTTGCGCATCTGAACTATTAGTGGAAGCGATGAAACAAGTACTCCGATGGTAATGTGACCTTCAAGTTTTTGTGTAATTGTAGTACTATCATCTTCGACTGTCTGATGGCTCAAGCTTCCGTGGAAAACGCCCAAAATTGTTTTAATATGACGCATCAAGATATTCTTAAACAAATTAATCTATAAAATAATTTTATAACACTTGATACTGGTAAAAATACAACTGTATCGGTAATGGACTCACATTACCGAAGAAAAAAAGTAATAATACGAATGTTCCAATTTCAAACGTTACTCAACATTGTTTACGAGCTAACTTGAAATATCGTATTTCATTGAAAAATTAATCTGTGTCGGGAACATTTTTGGGCGATGATACGATTTGCAATTATATCACCTTAAACCGGACGAATGACTTGACAGACTTCATTATTTTGAGTTGATACGTGCTGCTGGTATAAAAAGTTTGTTGTCCGTCGACGGTTAATAGAATGTTTTTTTTTGTCAATCGAAGAGAATAGTCGAATTACGTTTGAGGATATTTAGCACATATTATTGTAAATTGATCGAGAAGTGTTTAGAAGAATTTCCACGAACACTTTCGCATGATGAGGATAGTTTCGAATTGTGTGCCGCGAAATTTCACCAATGCTCATCAGAGCAGGCTCGCGTGAACGCTGCCGGACGTGACTAAATTTGAAGCACCCAAAAACAAAGCGCCAGTCGACGTGTTGCGGCAGTGAAGTTTTCACTGCTGTGATCAACAAAAACTTTAACCAAAGAACTTTTTTAGTTTTTCAAACTTTCTAAGTGACCCACTAAAAAAATCTACTAAAGTATGTAACATTAATAGATTTTTTTTAAATATTTTTTATTTATTAAGACAATGAATGACTAAAATTCCGCCTGATGGTAAGTGGTGATGAAGCCTTAGATGGTAAATCGCACTGTCTTAGCATAATAAAAGCCCCACTCAGCACTCTAAGCTTGAAGACACCCACATTGTTATTGGCCGGAAAGACAGACGCCGGCAAAGTATTGTAATTTCGTAGAGAACAAACGATATGATCAAATGAATGCTTACACCTTTATTTAACAATAAAACTAATTAAAAAGTGAATTAAAACTATTTCATAAAAAACTATCCTTTATTTTACAGTTCATTTGCATGAAAGGTCAACGACACCATACACCACGATGAATCGCGATCAATATAAATAATGTTTTGAGGTCATTTTTATTCTCGGAAATAATTTGCTTCGCGCATAAAATTGATGGATCGTTAAATTCATTCGATTTATGTCTTTTCTGATGTTTTAATAGAGTTTTATTTGTTATTCAATCAATTTATGTTCTTTTTTCAAATTTAAAATTAAAATTTTCCTTTACTGACAGTTTGTCAGGCAGAAATTGTCTTATGCAACGTGGTCATCGTTAGCAGTTTATAAGTTTTCTATTATTGTTTTTTTGATATACGAAATGATTATTTATATACGTATTTCGATCTATTTAGAAGAAATCTGACTCTAGGGCCTCAAAACTTGAAGAAACGTGATATTCGGACTTCCAAAAATCTCTCATTACAACAACATTCCTATGTAGATTTAATAATTACTTTACAAGACTATATTAAAAAATAATTCGTCGAAATCATACCTGAGCTCCATTCTGCACTAAGAGCTTCACAACCGCTTCCTGTCCTGCTAGGGAAGCTATGTGAAGTGCAGTATTTCCCTTCTTTGTTGCAGCATCAATTGCTGCACCTCGCTGTAGCAACTCACGCACTACTTCCACGTGGCCGTCTTTAGAAGCGAGGTGAATTGCATTCAGACCGTTCTGTGAACAAAATTTATGCTGTATTTTTGTAGTATACCGTTATAATCTATCAAAAGGCCACTGCTGAACAAAGGCCTCCCCCATTGTTTACTGTCTCATAGGGGAGAATATTTTCCATAGCTACCAAGCTTGCAGGTGAGTTGACAGCCACAGTTTTGTATGATTTTGAGTTGTTATATACAAAATATTTCTTACCCTAAATAATGCGGCATAACGTTACACTCGCTAGATGTCGTTAGTTGGGGCTGAGATGAACTTATTTGTAATACAGATGGTCACACAGTGTCCTCACAGTTGAAAATTTGCATTTTTAATAAAAGTTTTTAGTTTCTAGCATATACACAAAAACAATGCCTCGGTGGCGTATTATTTAATATTTTATACATTTTTAACTTCGCTATGAGGGAATCTATGGGGAGGCCTTAGGTCATTACTGGACTTGTATAGGCTGTAATAGATAAATAGATTTTAAATCAGAAAGTTAGAATTTTCAGCGTAAAGATTTTTCAGTAAATGTGCGCATTGCGTACATGTCCAGTGTTCATGTCTCTAATACACGATATTAATTTTAGGTCATTAATAAAGCTATAACGCCGTATTAACTGCTTATTAGTACTATTAAAGAGCTTTGACACGCAAACTCAATTGAATACTATGCACAAAACCAACGCCGCTAAAATCTTTTTATCTACAACACGAACTTTTGTTAGTAAATTACTCTAATTAGAAACAACACTGTTTCTGCGTTATTTCAAGAAATTTGAATTTGCAATTTGTTAAACACTTAAACACAAAGAATACATACACAATTTTAAGCAATAAAACAAAAACATCTCCTATTTATTACGCTAGGTCTTTTGGCCAGAGTGTGGCTATAACTTGGCTGGTCCATGATTCGAACCCCAGATTGGTTCCAAAAAATAAACAAATTGTTGGTTTTCTGGTCTGATTGTTTTGTAAAACGTGGCTCCAACACTATATCTACACTCGATTTACCGATTATTAAGTCTAATACGACTTCGCATACGATATACATTTTTACACACAGGCTTTGTTTTACCGCGAAAGTAAACATATAGACATTTTAATGCTGTCATAAGAAAAAGAAAAATAATATCTTTTTTCCACGACTTTTTCTGCCTGACCTGACCTGACCTGACCAGGGCGGCGCTACTTAAAAGTGACAAATTAATATTAATATTTGACAGATTACATAGCGGGGAAGTTAATTTGTTCGGAAAATGTAAAGGTTAATGTTTCTTTCTGTACTATTATCTCTATTTTATATTAATAAGATTTAAAAAAACCAACCACAGATATTCATAAAAGTAGAGACATTGTTAAAAATGTGCAAAAAAATAAAGAGCAAACCACTGAGGTATTGTTTTGTGTATATAATACTCTAGAAACTGATAAACTTTTACTAAAATAATTACTCAATTAAATGAGTTTGTGTAACAAAATCAACTAGCAACATCTGGTGAGCAGAAAATTATTGGCCATCATTAAAATAAATAATTCTAAACAACTTGAAGAATTTTTAACATTATTACCTATCCTTACCCAGGCGAAGGGTAGATCTCTAGTTTATACATATAAATAAAATTGAAGTATCTATCTGTAATATTGCAATAACTGCCTTTTATTGAGGTGATTATTAGCATGCCATTAAGACTTAAAAATATTATAAGAATATTTGTCTGTCCGTCTGTCTCTCTGTCCGGGCTCTTCTTTTCATCTTCGGAATGGCTGAACTAATTGTAATGAAATTTAACGAACAGATAAATAGTCACGTCGAGTGATATGGACTATTCTGGCGATGGACAAGTGGCGATATATGCATTCGAAAACGCCAAAAGACCCAGACTGACAATGGAGAGCAGCAATCCCAGCAGGAGTATAGGTATTACGCCAATATTCACATAGTATTAATTGTTTTATGTAGAAGATGATTTATAGCTACGTTTGGATCTGACAGATGGCGCTGTAGTGAAGTCAAGCTATTAAATTTACTTATTAAGAGTAGTCTGCGCGGGAATTGAAAAATAGGTATTTTGAAGAAACTATTGCCGTCGCGCTATATATTATGGTCTCACCCAGTAGAGTGGCGATAAGGACAACTGCAGCTCAGAACGATTTTACCCACAGAAACCATGACCGATCGACGTTACGTATTTACCTGTATTCTCCTCGAAAACTAAGTCGATTAAATTGTTTGGTATCAAAATTTAAAGGAAGAATAGATCTATGATCCTATCACTTGTACTTATCTTAAAAACTTTTCAAATTTCTTTGTTAGTCTGATTACGGAGGTAAAAACAGGGCTTTTTTAGGTTTTTGGAAAGTCATATTTATTTTTGTAATCATTTTTGGAGAAAAATTTGAATGACAGGGGCATGCCTTTAATAGGCCTAGATTTTTATGAACAAAAACGATTACTCTAGAGGCATTATCCAGGAAGAGAATAGGGGACTACATTTGTATGAAAAAAATGCAGCCAATCTACGCTCTTAAATAATATATTTTTAAAAAGCTGTGAAATTTATCATATTTTTGCATTGTCATCGAAATTTGAGCTTTTTTTTATAGGATAAGGGTGACAAACGAGCACACAGTCCACCTGATGGTAAGTGGTTGCTGCGGCCCATAGACATCTACATCTATCCTCTATTACAAATCAAAATGTAGATGCGTTGTCACACGTGAGGACTAAGATGGAATGCCTCATTTCCGGTAAAAAGGGCCTCCGGCCACCTGCACTCACCAAGCGATATTAAAAATGAAAAATTTTAAGTGTCCAGCTCACTGAGAAGTTATTTTAAAATCAATGACTAAACTCCACATGGAACGACAGACAAACAAGAAAGTGACTTAATAAAAAGTGGTAAAATTACTCATATTCGCAGTATGTGTGGGCTTATTACCAAAATAAGAAAATAACAAAATTTGGACCCGATAGGTGGCGCTGTGGTTGAGTTATTAATAAATATTATATTTACAATGTAACACTCGTGGTAGCTGAAGGCCTAAGCGGTCGCTGTAAATTTCACAGTATGCAAGCAACCTGAGTTCAATCTCCGCCGGCATCAATGATTTTTTTATTTACAATATTAAGTGCCAATTTACCACGTACTCAGCGGTGAATAAAAAATCATAAACGAATAGAATTCGTAGAGCATAATTAAAGCGATAGAGCTGCAGTAGAGTGTCGTGACTGATGTCGCGTGGCAAGCCATAATTTTCAGAATACAGCCTTATCTATTTTGCGCTTTACTACTTTGCACTTAAAATTCTCTATTCCATGCAAAGTTTATGTTAAATTTTAACTTCACCATATTAAGAATATTTTTCATTGTAATATCATAGATGTTATTATATCCTATACTTTTAGTTATTGAAGTGAAAACTTCTTTAGAATCGTTGTGATTTGAAACTCGGTAAAACGAAAAAGCGACACTAAAAAGAGACAAACCTATATATCTATAGGATTTAGCCTGCAAGAAAATGAGATAGAATGCAGCATACAATGTTTATTATAAATCCTACTCGTGATACTCTGCAAATGTCTCATTCTTTCAAAGTTCAGTTTTCGGAAGGTTCCACTTCTACTGCGTGTGAACAGCATACATGTTTTTTTTATAGCATAAGGGTGACAAACGAGCACACAGTCCACCTGATGGTAAGTGGTTGCTGCGGCCCATAGACATCTACATCTATCCTCTGTTACAAATCAAAATGTAGATGCGTTGTCACCCGTGAGGACTAAGATGGAATGCCTCATTTCCAGTAAAAAGGGCCTCCGGCCACCTGCACTCACCAAGCGAAACGCAGAGGTAAACCTCTACTACACGCTGGTTTTCTGTGAGGTCGTGGTACTACCCCGGTTCGAGCCGGCCCATCCGTGCGACATCAAAGCTGCCGCGTAGCTCTACCACTGTTATGTTTTTTTTTATTAATTGAATTGTCAAACGAACTCAAAGTCCACCTGATGGTGAGTGGCTACCACAGTCTAGGGACAAATGCAGCCAACTTCAAACAAAGTAGGCTACAGGTGCGTTGTCATCTTTAAAGACTAAGGTGAAATGAATCAAAACCTGTCAATATACAATCTCTCTATACGCTTCAGACCGTAACCAAGGAATTTAAATTATTACCCGTAACACGGCAGTGCAAGCACTGCTATTTGGTTGCAGAAATGTGAAAGAGGGTGATATCTACTAGTAGGGTTCCTAGGCATAGAAGGAGTCCTACCACCTAGTCCTATATACATAATGTTTATTTACCAATTTAGGTGGCACTTTTATAGAGATCCAAAAATCACCCGCGCATAGCCGGGGCGGGTAGCTAGTGTCCTATTATTGATTTATACAACATTGTTAATAATGTATAAATACAAAAAGAAATTATAGGATACTGAAATAAAATAAAAAAAACTTCAGGTCCGTATTTTGCGTAACTGCATATTGTCACTATGTCAAGAAGGCAAAATGCCAAAAATACAAATCTCGGCATGGAAAACTAATGATGTTGATAAAGCGAAGTCCACACGAGTAAAGCCGCAAGTAGCATTATTATTTATTCTGTGCCGCAAGCAAAATCTAGTATAAAATAATATAATATGTATAAGCATTAGTAATAGTGATTCGGGTATCATGGGTTTGTAATTACGAGTTTTGGACTAGAGCCAACTTTAGGTGCCTGTGGAGCATTTTAGAGGGTGACATTAATTATTGTTGGCTCAATTTAGGGTGTTAACGATGTTAACGTCTTTCAAACAACCCAAAATGGCTTTGTGATCTGCCGTTCATAATATTTTATTGGGTTAGCTAGCGACCATGCAGTAAAAGTTGCAGCCTATTTACGTCCCACTGCTGGGCACAGGCCCTCCTCTCATTTCTGAGAGGGTTTTAGGGCAAGGAAATGTCCGCCACGCTGCCCCAATGCGAGTTGGCGAACTTCACATGTCTTCGAAATATTTTTTTTCTTATTTCTCAGACATG